TGAGGGTGACGGCGGCGATGAAGACTGAAAGCTCGGCGAATCGACAACAGGCTTGCGTGATGCTTGCGTTGCGGAGCGCGAACCATCTCATCAAGATGTTGCGGCAGGCCTGTAACGCGGTGACCTTGGAATACTCGTATCGGTTATCGAGATGTGCTCTGAGTAGGTAAGGCAGGTGGATGAATAGCTTCATCTCAAAGTGCCAGACTTGCACCATCAGTCGCTCCAGTGTAGCGAAAGACTCTGGCGACCTTGCTGTTGACGGTATATTTGGTACTTCCCAGAAGTCCTTGGGCATCTCCTTCATGGAAAATTCCAGCTGTTCGTCCAAAGCCAGCGCTGCCGAATATGCCTGTGGCGAGACATCGCGATCAAGCTCCGCCACTTGTCTTGTCAGGTAGTTGAGTTTCGACCGATGAACCAGATGTGGGCTGGCGTCTGCTGGAAGTGGATAGTCGTCCGCGCCGAACGGGAGGCGGAGATGTAGTCCTAGATACCGATCAATGTCAACGAAGTGGCGCCATATCGACTTGGCGTTCGAAATCGCTGGAATCGGGGGGTTAGAGTCGTCCTGCGCAATGATGCGCTGAAATCCCATGAGATGTGCCAGGCTGAGACCGCGCCGCACAACAAGCCATGACTGCCGTAACGAAGCACTGTTTAGATGGTAGAGAGCTAGGAGCAAAAGCACCTCCAGTCCATGCAGCGTCATCATCTGCTCGTCCGAGGAGGTTACCAACGATGTCACCGTCGATACATAGTTTTGCATCGTCACCTCCATGTTCCAGATGCTCGAGAGGCGCGAATGGTCGAAATCGGGTGGGAGCGAGTTGATACAGATGGCCAGATGCAGTAATGTGCGAGCGATGATGATAGGCCGCTCTTGTGCCACAGCCTGCATACACAGAGCGTACGACTGCAAGTCGTTGTTAACATATATCTCTTTCGACGCCCGGTAGATGCCTTCTAAGATCATCCACCCGTTAGACGATTCGAAAATGATATCTGCATCGTGCTGTGATGGCAACAAGGCGGCTAGGGTTCGGTGATTGTTGTCGTAGTCTGAGGGCTGCCCCTTGCTATCTGACTTGTTGACCAAAGTACGAAGAGAGGGCGCTGAAGTCCATGTTTGCGCCCCAAGCTGACAACGTTAGTGTGGGCGGTAGGACGAATAGACTCGACTTACGATCCCATCGGCCAGTGAGGAGGTGCTATACGCATCGCTTCGCAGTTCCGATACATCCGGTTTGATGTCTTTCTCGGTAGAGCCTGAGGCAGTGAGGGCAGGGCTGTGCGGCACAGTAGTGGCGGCGCCTGCGGTGGCATTTTTACGACACACAAATCTTTCAAAGAGTTGTTCCAGTTTGCATAGCCTTTCTTGGATGTGGTTTGAGCATGGATTCCCGTCATCTATCCGTTCCGTTCCGGTGTTGTCCATGATGGCGGAAGAGTTGAGGGTAGTTTGGCTGGCATTCCCGTGAACTTTGCGCTTCTTGCCTGTAGCATCCTTAGTAAGTAGTCCAGATAATGTGTAAACGGATCCTAGTCTTACACTCCCAGCATGCCCGGCGTAGACTTCTCGAAGGCCGTTTCTTAGAAGTGTTACTCGCGTTACTCAATGATTCCATCATAGTCTTGGCGATAACAAACGATGAAGATGGTATGAATTACGGAGATCTGGTATTCCTGTCACAGGCCTATACCTGATAGGGGCGGCCATGTTACTTTCATAGTGGGGTGAAGGTGTTGCGATGGCAATGCTGATGTGGAGCTGACGCTGTCGGACCGCCGGCCGGGTTTCGTCCGCAACGGATGCCGAGAATTCCTCTACTTTAGTAAGTCATACAACTCCGGCGCTTGGTAACGGCAAGGGAGGCTCGCCCGAGGATATGGCCACCTTAATAAGCGCATCTCTGAACGGGTACGGTAGAACATACTCGTGTTTGATGCTTTTAGTGTGCTCTTATCCGCAGTCCTCAATTCCATAGGTACTTTGGTGTTGAGAAATTCGCAATTTTGGATTATCGACATGTCGGCTCCAGGGATGCTCCGACGGATGATTGCACAACGCGACCAGTGCTTATGCGGCCTATCTCCGCCGTGTTCGAACGCACTTAGAAAAGCCACGCGCATTGTTGACAAAGTCTGGAAAACTTGCCTCTCGGATACGGATATCCTATTACCAACATGTCGCTCAAGATCGTAGTTTCTGGTGTCACCGGTCGCATTGGCGCGCATGTGCTGCACCATGCGCTACAAAACCCGCTCGTATCGAGGGTCATCGCAATATCACGGCGGCCCCCACCCGGGATAGGAATGCACGCTAAGCTGGAGGTAGTGTTGCTTGAGGACTTTACAAAATACCCCGACGATGTGCTTGCGAAACTATCCGGGGCAGACGGATGCATCTGGTACCGAGGCACCTGCGTCATACTCCCCAACAACTGCTGACGTTCAAGGTGTATGACAACAACGGCTGGTGATCCCATGTTAGAGCTAGAGTATCCCAAGGCGTTTGCTGAGGCGTTTGCATCGACCATGCCTGTCGACTCAAAGCGCTTTCGGTATTTGCACTTGTCAGGCGGTATGGTGGAACGCGATCAAGAGAAGTCATTATGGATGAAAGGCTCGATGCGCAAGATCAAGGTAGGCGTTTACTGTTCTTTTGTGATACCATGTGCGTAAATCGGAGTTAGAATGATCCGGGGCAAGCTGCCAAACGTGCTGACTCTCCGTAGGGCCGTGGGGAAGTTCAAATGCTTGAATTCGCCAAGATGAATGAAAACTGGAGAACGGTCATAGCTCGGCCAGGCATGGTTGTACAAAGAGGTAGTATTGTTGGTGAGGCTTCCATGATGATGGCTGGCTCTTCTGGCTCCTTCATCCGATTTGATGAGCTTGCGCTTGCACTCGTGGATGCGGTCGTACATGGCAGTGAGGAGCTGTTGCTACCTTCTATGCTCGTACAACGGGGCCAACAATTGGCAAGGGAGGCCACCGAGTGACCTGTTCAGTCAGAAACGAGGACGGTTATGGAGGTGGAGATATGTTGGATTCCATTTGATCCATGAATTGAAAGCGAAGGCCGGCGCCAAACTACCGCTTAATCTCCTACCCGCAGAATGTCTCCGCATTTGATCACTGTCAATACCGGGAAGGTTCCGCGTGTGCGCGTGACGATCGAGATCATCTATGTTCAACCGCTATCTGCTGGTATTCCCAAACTCCGACGCAACGTAACGCAGAGTGAGACCTTTCAGGCGTACATATCATCGTAGTCTTCTTCGTCGTCATCCGCAGGCGGTGGCGGCGGTTGTTTCTTCTTCAATAGTTCTTTGCGGTCAAGAGGGCATGTGGAGTTCAGCTTGAGCCAAGGTCCTATGCAGTCCAGGTCGAAGCGATGATCGTCGTGACAGGGCAGCTGGACTACGAGTGGGTACTTATCTATGCAGTTACCATCAGCCAAGCTCTTGAGCTCTGCGTTGGGTCTTTGAGACGTGCGACGTACCTTCAAGGAATGGGTTCACGCAAATTGGGCAGGTGTCAGAAGGCTTCAGCGCTTTCTTTGGCACCCGCTCCAATTCATCCAGGAAGCTGTTTGGAACTCCCTTCAGTTCTGTGGGCGGGTCGTCGGCATTCTCGCGGAGCATCTCGATCATACTCGCTAACAGATCCCCGTGTTCGTTGCTCTCGTCCGCCGGTCGTCCGCGCATGGTCTCGAAAGCATTGGCAAGCAAGCGGAAGGCCGCCGCCATGTTTTCGGGCTGCGGTAAAGCATTGGCATTTGTGTGCGCGCTGGGATCCGACGTGTCCACGAGTTCAAGCTGCGAGAAGAAGGTCGAGAGGTCTGGTCGGCGCGAGGGCTGCTGCGACTTGTCATCTTCGGTGGAGATGTTGTGTTCGACTGTCTGGGTCAGCTGTTGTGTTGCGCACACAGTCGCTCCTGCCTACCTTCGTAGCCCGACATGGTGGCGGTATTCCAGATGTCGCAAGTCCAGATTAGGGTTTGTGGTTTGGGCGGCTGTCCTTGCCAGCTGAAATTATGAAGCTACGCGGAGTAGACGCGTCACAGCAGCAGCCTGAGACCCTGCAGTCTGGAAGGTGCGACCCCTCAGTTGTGGCGCAGGTGGCGCTCATCAGCCACATCATGACCCACACTGCATGACAATTCCACCCTCCGCTGTGGCTGATCCATCCCAAGTCTGCTCGCCATCGGCTTTCACTTTGGCCGCCGTCATTCTGCGACTGTCACATCGACGTGTGGCGCAGCCCAAGCCGCCACCCTCATTGGCGCTCGCCCAGTCCGAAGACAAGCTAACACTAGGGGAAGCTTGTCCATGTGGTGTGCGATTCTTGCGACACGCGACACTGACGCGTTCGTTCGTAGTAACTAGTGAGGCCGCGTCTGTCGTTCAAGGTTAATGTGCTGTGTGGAGGAGTTCCCTGTCAGCGCTGTCCCCAGTCTAGCGACGCTACAGGCACCTTGCACCACCTGCGCGAGGTTGGGCGCTGCATGCATATCTTGTCGATATCTGGGGAAACAAGCAACTGATGCCCAGGTACAGATCTCGGCAAAGATGCGACTCCATTGGAAACCGCTGGCGTGCACTCGAAGCAAATAATTGGGGCCTTGTGGAGCCGGTGATCCAGATCATGCACAGCCTCCTAGTGTCCGCAACCAAGTCGTCACGCACACTTTTCCCTGACAGACAACACAACATGCCGTAAAGGGGCGCAGCCATCGCAGCGGCAACTGATAGAGTCAGATACAAGAGGCAAAGCAGCCTCTGTGACACACTCGAGGTCTGACGCTTCACATTGCCAGTAGCAGTCTTACAGTGCACAACACTCACCGCTTGGACCATCGCCGCCAACGACTACCACTTCACTACTTCGGTCTACATCTAAATTTCTACCTCCGCTCAATGTCGCTGCTCGTCATGTCCACAGATCCACCTTCTACTTTTGAGCGATTGTCGCCCTCTTGGATACGCCGTCCCATGTCTCGAAGATCGACATCACCGCAAAAAGAGTCGCGGCCTACAACATCAAACGGCCTACTTGCACCAGAACCAGCGTCAACATTCAGCAATAGCGATGGCACACGATCACCACGCTCAAGTTCATCTAGCCGCCGCGGATCAATAATAGAGTTTGTTACCAGATTCCGCTCTTCATCCAACGCCAGTGTCGCAAGCAACAAATCGCAAGACCCAACAGACTTCAGTGAAATCGAGAACTGGTTCTACGGATTCCGAAGATACAACCAAATAGTCAGCACCACCACATCACCAAACAAAGCCGACCAACCGCAAGACCTCTCGAAACCTTTCAAGAAGTTGACGAAGAAGTGCGGGGGTCAATTTCTGCACGGGCTACCAGAAGCCGTCTTCGACTTCTCACTCCTCTGGTGTCCCGCCGGCCACCTAACCAGAAAAGACAACAACGAACCATCCTGGAGCTGGACCGCCTACGACGGCCCCGTAAACTTCCCTTTCGACCCAACAACCTGCCCCGATGTGTACAAACTGCCACGCAGCGAGGGCGAGTGGTTCCAATCCGAGATCTTACACTTCCACGTCGGTCCTGAGTCGGCGCAATACACTGTCCGACGGGAAAAAGAAAACTCCCTGCGCATCAAATACCCGCCTTATTTCCACGCGCCGCGCGGCTCAGACCACACCAACGAGTCCAACACCCTGCGCTTTACGGCAGCGACTATTAGTGCGGATGCGTTTACCGCTGAGCCCAACACGTATGAAGGCAACGAAACCCCCTCCTCCCAACTTATCAACTCAGACGGCAAAACCTGCGGCGCAATCATGGACTACGAATCTGAGCTCTCGAAGCCCTCTTCCACCGGCCCTTTCGAGTTCGTGCTGCTGTCCAGGAACCTGTGGCGCGAACCGAATCCCGATAATAGCAAGCCGGGGTCGAATACTATGCATCCTACTGGCACGCCGATCTGGAATGGACAGCGTTTTATATGGGATGAGAGGGTTGTGGATCATGATGAGTGTTTTGAGATGGGGCCGTGGAAGATGCTGAATGTTATGCTCATTAAGTGGGTGGGTGACTATGCGGAAAGGGTGGCGGTTGCGAGGATACATGAGGATGAGTGGAAGAAGCATAGTCCGAGTAAGCAGGATATTGTGCTGTGCTGAGATGAGATGTTTTCGACTTTTGGTCATGATTAGAGCGATGAGATGGGTATGATGGTAGATATGCCGTTCGATTATGCTATTTTGAGCATATGGGTAGCCGAATACGACCAGTGTTTACACGTCAGACCTGATTTCCATGGAAGTGTTTGCTGACTACAGAAGCTATCTCATGATCTCATTTCATGCCGCTACATGAATGTAGGAGTCTAGCAGTCAGATACCCTTGGTACTCGAGACTCGGAGACTCCACGTAGCCTCCACGACTACTCATGAGCCTCCCTCGAGAAAAGCTAACGTCATCGCATACCTCAAGCCTTCTCCAGCTTCTCCCTTTCCAGCTTCTTCTTTTCCCACTTCGCCACCTCCTCATCAATACACTTGAAGCTCCAATTCTGGTAGAAAGGCGGGTACAGGAAAGGCCTCAAGTCGAATCGGTTATCATCTGGCGAATATGCCTCGGCATGGTAGGAAGGCGTCATTGTCGTCATCTTGTGGCGGTTGATGGCATAGTAGTGGAAGAACCGCTTGACCTTGACTGCGACCTCGGCGGGGGTATACTTGTCGGACCATTCGTGTGCTAGGCGAACCCAGGTTCCGTATGGACCAAGTTTAAGCTCTTTGCGGCATTTGCCAAAGACTCCGAGTTCTGCGTAGGTCATGCCCATATCGACCTCGTCGCTCTGGACATAGTCTTCTGTGAGTGGTTCGAGTTCGGCCGTTGGGGTTGCGTCGATGAATTCGCCCAAGATGGGTAGTTCGAAGTCCTTTTCCGCCCAACCAATAAACCTCTTGAGGTCCGTCTTCGAAATACTTCCAATGGGGTTGAGATCGGCGCTGCTACAGTCGTACTTGGTGAGATACCCGCGCAGACACTCGTCGACGTTTCCTGAGGCAAGGACCAGAAGGCTACCCCCTTTGGGTCTACCTCGAGTAGTTGGTAGCATTCTGCAGAGTTAGAGGAACGAAGTCAGTATATGTCTCACGTGCACTTCGTACAGTCAGAACTTACTGGGCGAAGTAGTACGCTTGCACCAGACGCGTCCTGGACAGGTCAGTATCGTTCTTGTCGCCTTCAATGGAGTTTGCGAGCCCATAAAGAGACGTTGCACCATGCTGTAGGCTCCAACCTGGCTTCTCAAGGAAGGGCCAGATCTTCACTGTCCGCATGTCTTCGGCGATTTGGTTCTAACCTTGATGGAACTTACCTCGCTTGAATATTCTGCAAAGCCAAGTTCTCAGCAGGTGAGCCACCATGAGCCCTGAATCGTGGCGTAAAGCCCGTAGCCTTCGTCAAACCTAAAGATGAGTGTAAGAAATCAGTATCTGTCTCACATACAGTTCGTACATGGATATTACTAACCGTTCTTCGTATTAAAAAAAATGTCGTCGATGTCGGCTTCGACATGGTAGCATCCAATGTCTTCGGCTAACCTCTTGGCACGGCTCCTGGTCTCTTTGCTTGATTGCTGAGACATACCCATGTATACGGTATGAAGAATGCCGTTGCATATTTGCTTTGGGCTTGTAGGTACCCAGTCTTCGCCGTGATAAGGGCCTACGATGCGGCGGACATCCTTGAGAACTTGCTTGTTGCCGTCCTGCACAGCCTTGTACACGAGGCGGCACATGGAGAATACCAGAGTTGCGGTGGCGCAGCTATCGATCCCTCCGCTGAGGGGCAGCATGAAGCCAGCCTGACCGGATCGACGGAGGTAGTCCCAAAGCCAGCATGCAGGTCCTAGAGCGATCTCCTCTTCGGGTCGATGGTAGCGGAGCGGCTGTACTGGAGTGGGGCGGATGTTGGGATTAAAGTCTCCGTCAGACGACAGGCGGAAATCCGCCCTGAAGCGCTCATATCGAGGAGCTGATGCAGCTTGTCGGCCCCTCGACGGACTCGTCCGGAAGCTCCAAATTTCCTCCAAGTCGATGGTGGCGTGACAGACTTCGATATCATTCAGGGAGAATTGAGAAACCTGCGCGAGCATAGAACCATTGACCAATACCATGCTGGAACCATCGTAGTACTGCAAAGATGGACGTATAAAGTCAGCATATGTCTCACATGCCTTTCGCAAAGTCAGGACTCACCAATCGGTCACCATCACATCCTCTCTGGTTAGAATACTGCGGAGGTAGAGGTACGAAGTCAGTATATGTCTCACATGTACTTCGTACAGCCATAACTCACGAGATAAGCCCCACCGCTCTTACCAGTGGCATTTCTGTGGGTAGAGACATGATGTCAGCATATGTCTCACACATACTTCGTACAGTCAGAACTTACCTGATCAAGTCGAGACGTGTATCCAGCTTACGCAATTCATCTCACATGATAAGTTAGCATGATTTCCTTGCTTTGTACATGGGGAACTTACGATGAGAACCTGACGAATTGATGATGATGTCGACGCCCGCTAAGCTCAAATCTATATGCGGCGCCCGAGGCGTGAACAGCTCTTCGCAGGTCTCGTAGCCTATTGAGCAGTCGAGGGCAGACACGATGGCGTCCCCAATCGGGACGAAAGCTGAATCTTGCAGAGAGCGTGCAGTAGCGGGAAGCTCATGTAGTGCGTACTGCTCGACGCGTTGGGGTCCAGACCAGGGAATGAAGTATCGCCCTTCTCGATAATTTCCAGCCATCGCGAGGCTCATCTTGGGTCGAATCAACAATATCTTGCCATCAAGTACTACGATCCTTGCGTTGTAAAGATTTCCTGAATGCCTAACTGGCATGCCAACATCGTACATGATGCCATCGAGTTCGCGGTCAACAAGCAGGGAGTTTAGCATTTGCCAACTGTGCGTGACTGTGTCTTGTTCAAGAAAGTGGTCGAGACACCCATATCCAGGAATTGACAGTTCCGGCGTGGTGACATAGCGTGATCCATTTTCTTGGGCGACCTTGATGGCTTCCTTGATGCGATTCAGGTTCCCCTCCCAATCCTGAAAAAGTGTAAGCAGTGTACATCGCACAGTATACAGAGAATCTCACAAGAGCCCAATTATTCAAATTAGATGTAGAAACTGTGACAAGCCTTCCCATGTTGAGTAACTTGAACGTTCCGGTTGTGGTGGGGTGTAGGTTGGTTGAAGTCGACTTGATGGAGTGAGAGTAGAAAGCGAGAAGAAAGTAAGACCTCGAGATTAAGACCCAACGCTGAAGTTGACTAACGGGGTTGATTCTCTAGTCTGGTGATTTGAAATTTACAAGAGGTGGATGTATAGTACCAGGTTTCAGTTGAGTCCTAGTTGGTGGCGGACTGTGCCCAGGTGGGTCCGCCAAGGCGTTAGAAGACTACTTCGAATCAGGCAAGCGCGCCCAGGGCTGGCACCAGCCCACTGATAGCCAATCTATGGTTGCACTTCATTCAGGTACCAGGAGGATAATCTTTTCTCGTGCAACTGTCTCCCACGGCCCGCAGGTCAGCATCTTGCATGACGCCCGCCATTCGCAAGGCTCGCTGCTCACCCGATTGCCGACGACATACGCGTATCGGCTAGTAGCCATTTGCTTTCCCTGCGTCGGTTGTGCCCAAGCGGGAGTTGTGGTTGGCTGCCACTAGAAGTGCCCGACGCCAATGCCTAGGTAGTGGCTTTTGAAGGTGGGTAAACACATAGCGGTAGACCCTTTCTCCGCACGTCTCTTCAAATACATCAATGTCGGATTCAATCGACCATGCGATTGCACGCACGCAGGCCAGGCGACGGCGTCGCATAGACCATGCGGATCTAGCGAGGGAGCGGGAGAAGACGTTCTATCGGTAGGCTTATCTCCTTTGGCATGCGCCACCTGGGGAGCTACACTCACCAATGTCACCATCTAGGTACTACCCTCGTCCAGGCTCTCACCTTCCCCAGACAGATGGCCCTGCAAGCCGTCACTCGTCGCCGGGACCGGCTCCCAAGTCGCAGACGCCCCCGACTACCCCGCCGCCCTCTCTAGACTACGCCCCGCGAGCGTCGGACGACAAGGCCCTGACGGCGTTTGCGCAGTTGGGAGCGCTGCGACTGAATGCGCGGAGATGTCTCATATCCTTCTTCGACAGGACCGACTGCTTCCTCCTCGCCGAAGCCACGCGCACTCTGTCGTTACAGACTGGCGAGCCCGAATTCGAAGACGACCGTTTGTGCTTCGGCACCACCATCTTCCCCAAAGAACAGAGCCTCTGTAACTACACCGTCAACCTCGCTCCCAAGTACAGCACGCTCCCTCTCGACGATCCGAGCGACCTTCCTTCACTCGTCGTCAACGATCTTAGCAAAGACAAACGCTTCTGCAACTTTCCCTTTGTCCAGGGCCCACCATACTCGCGCTTCTATGCCGGAGTACCAATCCGCAGCCCAAGCGGCCACAGCATCGGCACATACTGCGTTCTGGACGAGAACCCGCGGGACGGCCTGTCACCGCACCAGCTCGCTTTCTTGAAAAGTATGGCAGGCACAGTAATGCGACATTTGGAAAGAACCAGGGCAGCTGAAGATCACCGCCGGGCCAAGATTATGGTCAAGAGTCTGGGATCTTTCGCTGAAGGGAAGAGTGGCTTGGAGAACTGGACGGTCGATCCCTGGGATCAGGAGACGGGCCAGTCGTCAGGTCTACCAGATGCGATCATACCCCAGCGCCAGCGTCCTTCTGCCAATTCCGACGCTGCGCAAGATCCAGTCGTGCTCAATGGAAACATAGATCCGGCCATGAGAAATCCGAAGGACACTCCACCTGCAACCGGTGCGCCCCCGAGTTTAGTCAACGGAGAGACAGTCGATACTATGCGTCCGGAGATGACTACTACGACGTCGTCCACTTCCACGAAAGGCTTCACCAAGACTGATCAAAAGGATAGAGTGGCCCCAGAACTGAGGGCTCACTTCACAAGGGCAGCGAACATGATCGTAGACTCGACCGAGGCAGAAGGCGTGGCATTCTTTGACGCGAAAATCAGTACCTTTGGAGGTCTTGTCGACGATGACTTCGATCCCGATCAGCTACCTGAACCGGACAAACCTTGCGACATATTAGGGGCGGCGCTATGCAGAACCGACCGCGACACGAAGCCGCTGCCCAACACTGGAGAATGCATTTCAGAAAGCGTCCTGAGACACCTCCTGCGACTCTATCCACATGGCCAGATTTTCCATCTCGACGACGATCCGGCAACTCCTTCGGTCGCCTCGCCATCGACAGCTGGCGTGGACGAAGTCGAGTCAGCCGATGGCTTTCCGTTCAGTACACCGCGCAAAACAGAATCTACCAGAAGCTTGGATGACGAAGCTTACTTGAGGAGGGTTTTTCCGACCGCTCGGAGTTTGATACTCTATCCATTATGGGACCCGCATCGCGAACGCTGGTTTGCTACGGCTGTCATCTGGAGCTCGGAACCGAAGAGAATCTTCACGACCGAACAGGAGCTCAGCTACCTGGCAGCGTTCAGCAACTTTGTCATGGCTGAGGTCGCTCGTCTAGACACAAAACTAGCTGATGCTGCAAAGGCCGATTTCATCTCGTCGATCAGCCATGAGCTGCGGTCACCACTGGTATGTATACAAAGATGAAGCAGTCGAAGCGCATGCACTGACCGTATCTAGCACGGGATTCTGGGAATGACAGATTTATTAAAGGATTCCCCTCTAGATGGCCAGCAGGTATCACATGTAGCAACGATCGAGACATGTGGAAAGACTCTACTGGAGACTATCAATCACGTAAGTTGGTGTAGGCTGCATCAGATACTGCCACTAACTTTGTAGGTTCTTGACTTTGCCAAAATCAACAACCTGACCCGAGGAGTTTCGAAGCGCCAGAAGAAACGAACACAGAGCGCGAAGCATATGATCAGTCCGGGCCAAGCTCATACCAATGATATCATGACACTAATTAACGACGTCGACATGAGCATCTTGACAGAAGATGTGGTCGAGAGTGTCTTCGCAGGCTACACCTACGCAAAGACGTCTGCTCAAACATACGAGTTAACCGCCTCTAAAGTCAACAAGCCGCCGATATCTATCATTCTCGATATCAACCAGAGCGACAACTACGTCTTTCGCACGCAGCCTGGCGCATGGCGGCGAGTCATCATGAACCTGTTCGGAAACAGCCTGAAGTATACACCGGGTGGGTACATCAAGGTGAAACTTGAGGTTAAGCGGAAGCCTGAAGACGAGGACGAGACCTGCGAGTTCCGGTTCTCAGTGACCGACTCTGGTATTGGCATGTCAGAGGACTATATCAACAACAGGCTCTTCCACTCTTTTGCGCAGGAGAATCCTTTAAGCCAAGGCACGGGTCTAGGTCTGTCGATCGTCAAACAGATTGTGGAATCTCTGGGAGGCGAGGTAGAAGTGCGTAGTGAGAAAGACCGAGGCACCAAGTTTACAGTCACATGTCCATTGAAAGAGTCACGAATGTCTCCCAACTTCTGTGCAACCGGTCCAGAAGGAGAGAAGGACCTGCAGCTACAACAGGTCACTAAGCGCACCAAGGGTCTGAAAGTGAGGTTTGACGGTTTCAATGAGGAAGAGGAGTACCATGTTAGAGACTTGAAGAACAAGACAGCCTCGAAGCTATCATTGAAGGCGCTCGACAGCCTTTGTGCTGAGTGGTTCGGTATCGAACGATGCGAGGAGGGCGACAATGCGACGGAACCAGACCTGATTATCGCTACCGAAACCTGCGCCAAAGCGTTACGGACTACGTACAGCCAGTCTCCCGGTCGAGTGTCTCCCACCCCCGTGATAGTTGTGTGCCAGGGCGCCGCAGCAGCACAATCTACAACAGCCATCACGGTGCCGGGGATAATCTTCGAATGTATCGGCCAACCTGTCGGACCCCACAAGATGTCGAAGGCCCTAGCCTCATGTCTGGATCGACACGCAAGACGCGCGGAGACACAGAAAATGGACGTCAAGTCGATGATCCCACGGATAACAGAGCTCAGTCTAAAAGAGGAAGCAACTCCCCGTCGCACCGACCACCTGCATGTCGTAGAGCCATCTCGACCGCAGCTCACCAGCATTAGTAGTGCCCCCGAGATACGCTCAATCAACAACAGCCCACCCCGAACATCCAAATACCTAAAACCGTCGCGCGCACTGCGCTGTCTCTGCGTAGACGACAACCCCATCAACCTCCGTCTCCTACGCACCTTCGTCGACAAGCTCGGCCACCAACACGTGCTCGCCGCCGACGGCCTCGAAGCACTCGAAGCCTACAAAGCCGCCAGCGACGAAGAATCGCGCATCGACGTCGTCCTCATGGACATCAACATGCCCATCATGGACGGCCTCGAAGCAACCCGCCAGATCCGCGCCCACGAAATCCGATCCAACCTCCCCAAAGTCACCATCATCGCCCTCACCGGCGTGGCCGACACAGACATTCAACAAGAAGCCAACTCAAGCGGCATCAACCTCTTTCTCATCAAGCCCGTCCGCCTCGCTGACCTAGAAGTCATTCTCAAAGGCGTGGTTACCGGCCAAGACAAAGCGAACCTAGAGCTCGAAGCAGAGAAAGAGCGGATTAAACAGGCGGAAGCAGATGCCATTCTCAAAGTCGAGAGTGTGGACGAGAAGACACGGAGCATCAACGTGGGTGTGGCTGTCGTCAAGGGCGAAGACGATATACAGAAGGCGGTTAAGGTGTTCGAGCACAAGAAGAGTGCGTCGGTGATATGAAGCACACACACAACGAGTTTGCATGAGGCTTTCCTTGACGCATATGCTAAACAAATCGCGGTAGGGCGCTCACACGCATCATCGGATGACCCGTATTCCCCGCGTAAAACTTCCGCGCACATTTCCTCGTTGATCACGAAGTTGGGCATGGACAGGAGGAGTGAATGACCAAGGGAAGGAAAAGCATTTACCTACGCATTTTGGCGTATACTGCATTTGCATTTCAGCTTCTCGCCAAGGAAGAGAAAAGCGTTATCAAGAGCAAGCTTGATGAACGACAAAATGCATGCATAGGGGTTGGCAGGCATGTTTAGGCGATTATACCCTTTTCTATCTTGCGTTTTTTTTCTGTTTCTGCGAGTTCTTGTTCTT